GTTGATGAGAAGATTTAGTTTAATCTTTCAAATAAAAACTTATCAAGCTAACAACCTAACTCAAGATTCAATTGCAGCAAATATAGAGTTCGAACACAGGAAAGACAAGGATTTAGAGTACAAGACCATGGAAGGTTTTTGTTAATCTAAAGCATCAATATAGGGTTTGGTTTGGTTATTCTAAACTTAAGCAGGAATGTAGCAATACTGGAAATGCACAAAACATATATTTAGAGTGTATGCAATGATAATGAAAGCATCAAGTGTAGGATTAGCAACTGATGCAGGACAGTAGATTGCGGCTAATAAAGCTAGCGTCTTTTACTTCAAAGCTCAACTTGTAAGCATGGAACACAAATACTGATCAACCCACTTTCGTGATGCTAGTAATCACTTTGTTGAGTACAAACATCTAACGAACTTTCGCTGGTAGATATAAGGACTCTCCAAGCATTAAGATCAAGTTCCAATAACCTCACTTAGCTCCTCTAACAACACTTTCATGGCTAGATGCCGCTAAGCCGAACAAAAGGCCAGTCCGACATTCCGACAAACACCTTTCGGGCAGTGGAACACCTCGAGGCAAAGCTCAAGGCCGTAGCCAAGAACCAAGCATTAACCTCAACCTAACCTCGAGAAATATAATGTCTGAGCCAAAGCTAGATTAGCCGACCTCTAAAGCTTCTACATCTACTAATTAACCCGACACTTGACGAGTTGACTACTCACTCATGGCTATGGGAAAAGCCGTGACTGAGATCAAGCGGATAGTGAATAGTGAAATGCAAAGATGAGTGCGATTAACAAGTAAATATTAAAACTTTAAGCTAAAGATGGAAACTTTATAAAGAAACGAACTCAGAACATCAAAGTACCGACACTCTAAGGATTTATTACAACTGAAACATAAACAAAAAGTTTGAAAGCGTAAAAAGGAAAGAAGAAAATCAGACATAGGTTTTTCTCAAGGGTTGAGAACATATTTATAGCCCCTAAATAAGTACCGGGTCGATCCGAAGTGAAAACGGTTCACCCAACATAAGTCAACAATCGACCCAGAAAAGTCAACAAAATGCATAAATTATCGGCCACTCCATATCAGGGAAATGATCGGTATTCGGTGCCGGTCCAGCGCTCCATCCTACTCTCGTATCGTGACACAACTCCTTTTATCCATGCAGGTTATCGGTTTTACTCATCGGTTGGTGCTGATATCATGAGATATCGATTTCTTCAGCTTGTTCTTCACACGTTATGGTTCGCCTAGTCCAATGGTCGGAGAGTCTTGATGCTCCATTACAACAAGGGGATAACCATGGACATTTGTGCACAGATTTAAGAGCATTAACGTCTTGATTCTCACCCAAGTTACGAACTTTAGTAGGTTTGTGTTGAGACTGACTCCATCCTTCCGCCATTCCATCTGCTTATTATTGGTGAAGCCTGATGGTATTTGACTGATTCCTACTCCTCTGGTTCCTCTGCTTACTCTAGAGCTCTGCATTCTCCCTTGACTCCATCCCTCAACACTCACTCCAATCCTCCAGGCTCTATAAGCCAGATAACTCCATTATAGCGCAGATACCACCTTAAAAAGGGTGAAACAAGAGAAATATGTACAAACTCTAACCTAAGGACTTAAGATGCGAACCTCAGCTAAACTAGAGCTAAATAGCTCCTATATGATGCAAAATGATGCTAAACACAGAGTAAATATGTGCCAACATGTACACGGATAATGCAAATATATGGACATATCAGTGATATATGTTTCCAATAAAAATCACAAATTGATGTGTTGAGAAATTTTCATAAATTATCTTAACTAAGCACTATAAAAAGAATGAAGCAATGTATTGAAAGCGCCATATAAAAAATAGCCTTAAAAAGA